TGCTGCAGGACAATGCACCTCATGGAAGGAGAACTCCCTACCTCCATGTCAGGAAGTTGTGGTGCCTGCATTAATGGAAAGCTGTACGTTTTTGGAGGATATGATGACAAAGGATACAGCAATCGAGTAATATTTTCTTTCAATTCAGGAGTGCAGCAAAATGTAACATTTAATGTGTCATTTTATTTCACAGGTTAACAAATATTTTTAAAAGAAGATATATGAGGAAAATCTTTTATTTATGATTATAAGGTTTTAGAGTGAAAATACAGTAGTTGTGCTTTTCCTGTCTTCCATGTCTTTCTTCTACAGAATTAACTACATAGTTAGTTGATATCCATAGGGCACAAGGGAAAAGCATGATGGGAAAAGATCTATTTCAGTATGTTTTATATATTATTTTTGCTTCTAAGACATAGTCTAATTTTCATTAATTCTACAATTAAAATTTTTACCTTTTAGAAAATAAAAAGTAACATTATTAATTTTAGGATCACATATCCCTCAGGTATAAATTTAATTTTCAAATGTCCTCTCTGTTAATGGTGTTTTCCTCTTTTAAAAGCTTTATTTTGTTAATTTGCGAACAAGAGATGGAAACTACATTTGGGAAAAAATCACCAACTTTGAAGGAAAACCACCCACACCACGTGATAAACTTTCTTGCTGGGTATATAAAGACAGGTAATAACAGCGAAACCATCTCATTAACTTACACTTAAGTAAAGAGTATAGCTTGTGGCCAAAATAGAGAACACGAGATTCTAAATTTTTTCGAGATATAACAAACTTTTTTGATGCTGATGGTAACAGCAGTTCTAAACCCTGAATAAGAGCTAAGTCAAAAAAATAAACATATGGAAGCAACTATTTTTAAAAAATTATTGTATTTAATTTAACTTTCCTAATAGCTAATACAATCATATGGTTCAAAATCAAAACCATATTAAAAAATATTACAATGAAAGCTTTGTCTTCCATTTCTGTCCCTGCTTCCCCAAGCACAAATAGCTACTACTAACTTTTGTATTCTTACAGCAGTGGTTCCCAAACTTGTCTGCCATTGGAATCACCTGGGGTTCTTTAAAAAATTCCAAAGTCCAGGTGATAACCCAGACTAATTATAGTTTCTGGGGGTATGATTTTTTTGAAGTTTCTCAGATGATTCCAAGATGTAGACAAGTTTGGAAACCACTGCCATTAGTGTTATGTTATGCAAATAGAAGCAGATATGTACGAATGTATGTATGTATATATGTATGTGTGTAATTTTCTTTTCCCTCTTCTCCTTACACAAATATTAACATACTCTGTACATTGTTCAGCACCCTGCTGCTTCTTTTAATTAGCAGTATACCGTGGAGATTGTTCATCTTTCTGTGTCCCTAGTTAGAAAGTTTGTTCTTGTGTTTTTTTTTATAGCTGCATAATATTCTCCTCTATGGATATACCATTGTTTGTTTAACCTATACCCTTAGATTGTTTCAGTTCTTTTGCTGAAACTATTGCAAACTATGCTTTAATGAATGTGTGTGTGTGTGTGTGTGTGTGTGGTGTGTAATTGCAGATCTATCTATTGGATAAAATTCCAGAATTAAATTACTGGGTCAAAAGGTAAGGTAACTAGGGCTGCTGTAACAACTCTCATAAACTGAGTGGCCTAAACAAGAGAAATGTATTGTCTCACAGTTTTGGAGGCTAGAAGTCCGAGATCAAGGTTTCAGCAGGGTTAATTCCTTCTGAGTTTTGAGGAAGAAACTATTCCATGCCTCTCCCATAACTTCTGGTGATTTGTAGCAATCTTTAGCATTCCTTGGCATGTAGAAGCATTGCTCTGATCTCTGCTTTCAACTTTACATGGCATTCTCTCTGTGTGTGCTTATCTATCCCCAAGGCCTAACCTAGGGGTCTCATTTTAATTTAAAATTGCCCCTATGAAGACCCTATTTTCAAATAAGGTCACATTCTGAGATACTGGGGATCAGGATATCAACACATGAATTTTGAGAGGACACAATTCAACTCATAACAATAGATTTTTGACAGTTTTTCCTCCATAGAAGTTGCTGTTTTGCATTCCCCACAGACTTTGCTTAAAGTGTATTCTGTATGCATCAAACAGCTTTTTAAAACTTATTTAAATAAATTTATCAAATTTAGATAAATTTGTAAAAAAATTTATTTTGTGCTTTCTCGATTTTGAGTTTGATTGCAAAGACTTTATCTATTTCAAGCTTATGACCTAATTTCTCCCTATATTTTCTTCCTCTACTTTTGTCATTTAATATTTACATTTAGGTCATTGATTCATTTGGGACTTACCCTGTGAATGGTATGAGATATGGATCCAGGTTTATCTTTTTTTGGATGACTACCTGTCTCTAACTCAGTTATTTCTGATGCCACCTTTACCATGTATTTACTAAATTTTCATTGGTATTTGGATTTACTTCTGGGTTTTATTCTATTTAATTGACCTTCTTTCTCTTAATGCACTAGTACGTGCATTAAGAGAAAGAAGCTTATAGGACTAGTATGAATGATAAGTGTATACCTTAAATAATGATCACAAAGCAAACACACTTATGTAACAATCACCCAAATAAAGAAAATTATTAACACTCAAGAAACCCTCATTATATTCTTATCTAACCACTATCCTCACTCTTTTCTAAAGAAAACCATTATCCTGATTCTAGCACCTTAAATTATTTATTCTTTTTTGTTTTTGTTTTGTATTATATATGGAATCCCATAGAATTTATTCTTTTACTCAAATTACATTTTTGAGATTCACCCATGGTGTTGTGTCTACCTGTAGTTTGTTTTCTTTCCTGTATGTTAGTCTATGAAAATACTGCAGTGTATTTACTCATTCTATGGTTGACAGACATTTGGGTCATTTCCATTTTTGGCTCTTTGGAATAATAGAATATGAACATTCTTCTATGTATTTTGGTACATAACAAACATTTCTGTTGGGTATATATCTCTTCATTCTCTTATTGGTGTAATCTGATTTTAATATACTCTAATTTATGAATCTTTTCCTTATGATTAATGCTTTTGTATCCTAGAAACTTTTCATTCCCCAAAGTCATGAAGATATTCTTCTAAGTTATCTTTTAAAAGCTATTATTATTTTATTTTTCACATTCTAATACACAATCCACCTGGAACTGGTTTTTGTGTGTGGTATGAGGTAATAGTCACCTTTCATTTTTCCATTTGGATAACCAGCTGGATAATCAGTTCATCCAACAGTATTGATTGCAAAGATCATACTTTTTCCATTGTTCTAAAGTGCCACTTTTGCCACAAATTAAGTGTCCACATATGGAAGAGTCCGTTTCTGAAGTCTGTTCTCTATTCTGTTGAATAATTTGTCTGTCTTTGCACCAGTACTATATTGTCTTAACTTCTATACTTTTATAATAAGCCTAGAGCGTCAGTAAACTTATTGTATTTGTTCTGAATTTGTTCTTCTACTGCAAATATGTCTTGGCTCTTCTAAGCCCTTTGCATTTCCATACAAACTTTGAATTTTAGTTTGTTAATTTCCACAAAGCCTACTAGAATTTTAACTGGAATTGCATTGAATCTAGAGTTCAAGTTGAGAATTGATGTATTTACAGTAGTGAGACTGTATCTTTTATATCCTATTTATTTAGACCCTTTTCTCTTTCTCTTAGTAATATTTTATAGTGTTTGTGTAAAAGTCATATACACTTTTCATGAGATTTTTTCCTAGATATTTGATTCTTCTTGATGGTCTTTTAAATGGCATCTTTTAAATGTGTTCATTTTCTGTTTGTAGCTAGTATATAGAAACGTAATTGATTTTGTGTATATTGGGCTTGTATTCAGCACCCTTACTATATGTCCTTTTATTTGTTCTAATAATTTAGCAATAAATTTTTTGGATTTTCTACATAATTAGAATACCTGTGAATAATGTCATTTTTTTCTTTCCTTCTAATCTTTATACTTTTGCGGGGGCCTTATTGCATTGTTTAGGACCTTCAGTAGTTCTAGTGCTTGTATTTATACTTTATTATATTGACTTTAGCTTTTCGTTTTTAAAAACAATGTCTCTGGTTGTTCTAAGTATCAGTAAAATTAGATTGTACCCTCTTCTTCCCTCTACACCGTCCTTTCATTCAACACATTTTTGTTAATTATGTTTCTTAATCTTTTGTTCCAACTTCAGATATGAATATTTAAGCTGTCCTCTACCTGTTTATCATTTTTTCACAAATTCTTTTTAATTTTTTAGGTGGCTTTTCTTATTTTATCCTCTATGTCCCTTATTGTATTTTCTGTGATGTCCATTCTCTCTTTTCTCTTTGTAACTTGATCTTCATTTCTGAAATGGGTTTTCCCCCCTTCTATTTCCTTTCTAACTTCTACCAATTCTTTTTCACCTCTTTATATTTTCTGGTCATCAACTCTGTTGTCAGAGTTCTTATATTTGCTTTAAAGTTTTCTTTCATTGACTTTTTTTTTTTGCTTTAAAATATGTAGCATTTAATACTCAGTATTCAGATTTCCCTATTTGTCTCATAAGTTTATAGAAACGCTTTGTTCAGTAGAGGATCCAGGTGAGGTCTATTCATTACAATGGATTGATATGTCTCTTAAGGTACTTTTATTCTAAAGATTCCCTTTTGATTTTTGTTGTTATTGTTTTGGTTTTGAAATTTATTAGATGAAGAAACTGGGTCATTTGACTATAGGGTTTCCAACACTCTGCACTATGTTGATTGTGTTCCTGTGGTTTCTTTTAACATGTTCATCTATACCTTGGGTTTTCTGTAAGTTGGACCTTAGATCCAGGAGCTCAGATCAGATTTTTTTTGTTGTTGGTTGGTAGTTTTGGAGGGGGGCAAAACTATGCATAGTTAAAGATTTCCATTAGTGTGCACATGATGCCTGATTATCTCTCTTTGTTAGTAAGCATTGATGATTATTGCCTAGATCCACTTATGCACAAGGGGATACAAAGGCTTAATTCTTTCCCTTTGTTTATCAATGTTCAACAAATAGTCATTTCTCTAGCATCCTCTAAAGTGATCAGTAAGTTTAAAAATTGTCATGAAATCATGAATTCAAAATATTTTATGTGTTTTAATCTATGAAACTCAGATTATCTTTTCTAGGTGGCTCCTAAATCCTTTTGACAAGACCCCACCAGTTTCATAATTTGTATGCTTTTCAGTGTGACAAGATGTTCCAGGCTCATCTTGGATATTTTCTATCCTAGACCAATAATTAGACATTTTTCCAAGGAATTCTGATTCTGTTTAATGGCAAGTGGTATTTAGAAATTTCAGTCTCGGTGCATTTCTGAGTTATCATTTCTATACTTTTTCAGCAGCTGGAGACAGGAGATAAAAAAGTTTTAAAGATAAAACACAAAATGTATTCATATAGATACTTCATTTCGCATTCAGAACTAGTATGTTTTTAACCCAACTTCACTGACTTTAAACATTAGTATATCCTTTCCCCTATGTTGAAAATCCTGGTTCTCAGTGTCATTAACATAATTATTCATTTGCTTTATTCTGTAATTCAGACAACAATACCAATAATATCACAAAAAATATGATTACTAAAACATTTTATTTTTTTAAAGTTCCTTTATTTTTATATTTTATACCATTAGAAATGTACAGTCATATCTTGTGTTTCATAGTCACTTTAGAAAGTTCTCATTTGTGTAATTATGCTGCTAATTTGACGCATAGATTCATTTTTTTATTTTACTTTTTATTTTTAAGATTTGTTTACTTTTTTAATTTAAATTTTGTTTTTGTAATCACATTGTCTCAAAGTCAAAAGTTTTGATTTTTTTCACTACATTTTTTTACTTCATTTGAAACATATTTATACATATACAAATATATGAGGTAGCTTTAACTATAAATACTCTCCAGCTCAATTACTGATTGTTCTATCATTATTAAATTGTTAATTTTTTCAAAGTGATTAGAAATACCATGTTAACATACACTTACTTTGCATGTATATATATGAGGAAGGCATGTTATTCTATTCCTACCTTTTTAAACATGGATGTTTATGAGCAAGGAATATTGATTTTTTTATTAATTACTTTTTCCTCTCTTCTGAGGTAATCAGATTTTTTTTCCTAATTTAAATACTGTTGTGATATATTTTCTAATTGTATATATTTGTATTTGTATTTTTTATATATTTGTATTTCAGATGTAAATCTTACTTGGTAGTAACAAGTATTTCAACATACTATTGAATTCTATTTGCAGACATATACAGATTTTTTAAGGGGGAGTAATGGATATCTATCAATTTATTTTTGGTTAGGCCTTAATTTTTTTTTTTTTTTTTTTTTTGCCAAGGAACTTGAAGTGATGCATGTGTGAATTTAAGTTTGCCATATCAGTTTGGAAGAAGCGTTATAAGGACTGGAGCTTAAAATGGAACTGAACTATATCTCTGAGCTTTGAGTAGGGCTGCATAAAGAGAATATCTCTGTGAACAATAAGGAGCAATGAAATATGTTTCTGTCAGCCATTAGGGTTTTCTACTTTTGTTTTTCCAGAACTTAATTGACCCCAACCCTACAAAGTATTTTGGCCTTTGTGTATACAAGAAACTGTTAAGAGTAGCTGCCCTAGTCAGGGAGATTGAGTTCTTCCTGTATGTTATCCACCTTTTACAAACTAGGTCTGTTAGCCTTGTTATCATAGGTATTTTAAAGGCCATGACTGATTCCAATATCTGGGCCACCTTGGGGTCAGCTTATATTAAGTCTTTCCTCTCTTGACCATGGGTCACTTTTTTTGTCTTTTCATGTATCTTTAAATTTTTTCATCATATACCAGACATTATCTATGAAAGAATGGTAAATGCTGAAATAAATGATATTTATCTCCAGAAAAAGATGTGGACTTTCTTCTTTTTTCAGGCAGCTAGAGTGGGAGTTAAGTCTGTATAATATGTAGTTGACCCATTTTGGTGCTTTGTTGCAGCTTTAGTTGGATTGAATTTTACCACTAGCTTCAAATGTTTTAAGGCAGGACTAAGACTTTTGCTAGAGCCCCATGGTTAAGCACTAGAGATTGTTTAGAGGTTTTCAGCTGAGCTTTACAGTTAAGTTCCCACCTCTCAGAACTGTGGGAGATCTCTCCCTGTTTTATAGCCTAACTGGTAGGTCTTTGGGTTGGTAGGGAGTTCTCTTTGCTTCCCAATCCCACCTTATGCTTTCTGTACTTTGAGAGATCTCTTTCAGCCTTGCACCTCATCCTTCGGCCTTTTGAGGGCAGCAGCCCTATATGCTATAACGGCCTCGTGTGCTACTAAGGTTTCCTTCAGATCTGTCCAAATCTCAAATTCTAGTAGCTGAAAGCTCATATTGCCTCAAAGAGGTTTGCTCAGCTCTCCTCTGCTTCCAGCTGTTGATGACCAACCCTGAGCTCTCTCTGAAGTCTAAGCGAAAGGGTTGTTGAGTTGGTTCCTAAATTTGCCTGTCGAGCATGGCTGATATTCTCAGGATTGTAATATGCCATTCCAGCCTACATGTGGCTGTTAAAATTTGGGGTGGTTTTGTTATAAACCATATATGTTCTGGATTCTTCCTCCTCTGGCTATTACATCAGAGGTGAAAGCAGCCATGAGTTTCTTCTCTCTTATTGAGAGCTCATTACTTTCTGGAATTAATGCATTTAGGTCTATTTGTTTTCTTAGAACTTGGATTTTTAAAAAACTATGGTTTTGTGGTTTAGAGTCACATATCACTTAATGATGGGAATACATTCTGAAAAATGTGTAATTAGGCTATTTCGTCGTTACGCGAACGTCATAGAGTGTACTTAGCCTAACCTAGTGTTATACCTTACTACACACCTAGCCTATATGGTATAGCCTGTTGCTCCTAGGCTACCAGTCTGTACAGCCTGAAACTGTACAAAACAACATGAGATTAAATCAAGCACAAGAAAACGATGTAATCAAGAGATGAGGTAAACACATGACATAAGAGGCTGCTGCTTGAGTAACAGCATACTGTTTTACAGCAAACCTTTTTTTAATAAGTAGAAAGAGTACATTCTAATGATAAAATGTATAGTATAGTAAATACATAAATCAATAAGTCATTTATGGTCATTATCAAGTATTATGTACTGTACATAATTGTATCTCTGTACTTTTGTTCATCTGGCAGTGCAGTAGGTTTGTTTACACCAGCATCACCATAAATGTGAGTAATATGTTGTACTACAACATATGACAACTACAGTCTCACTAGGCAATAGGAATTTTTCAGCTCTATTATAATGTTATAGAACCACTGTCATATATGCGGTCCGTCTTTGATTGAAATGTCTTTATGCAGCACATGACTGTATCTGGCTTGTTTAGGTTGTTAGGGTGAGAAAGTTGATTTTTTTCAACTTTCTATGAACAGACTAGAAGTAAAACTTATAAAGTGTGTCCTTTTGTATTTGTTTTTCAGATTAATATATTTCGGTGGCTATGGATGTAGGAGACACAATGAACTCCAAGACTGTTTTGATGTTCATGATGCATCTTGGGTAAGAGAGTAATCACTGCTTACATTTTCTTTTAGTATTACCTTGAATTCTTTAGAAATAATGAGCCCAATAATTCTCATTTTCATTTACCATAATTAACACTATGAAAAAAATGGGTTTTCTCTCTTTTGGACTTGAATTCAATTGGAGGAGGCTACTGGCAGAGTAATTTCTTTTCTTACGTCATTAATCACTTATACCTGCTTCTATTAGACAAGTGAGACTTTAGTATAACTTGGAAAAACTTCATTCATAGGTAACCAGAGGACTATTGCTGACATATACCTGCTTTTAGATACGTCCACTAGAACCTGTCATAGCTCAAACAGGCTTCTACACGAGGGTAAATTGGTGGTAATATTACCTTTCCTACTTATTCTTACTGGTTCGGGAATAAACTATTAAATAAAGAAGTCATGACTTATAAAAATGAAAATTTTTAAAAGAGAACTTTAAAAACCATCAATCCAACCACAAAGCTCTTTAGTTTTACCTTCTATTACTGTACATTATTATTGTGCATTATTAATATATATCACATTTTGTGTATATCTCTTTGTATATGGGTATTTTTTAAATTCTCCATGTATTTACATAGTTTTTTAGTTTTTCAAATGAAATATCTTTAAAGCTTTGTTATTTACAATATTAATAATAATTTTCAGAAATATAACTTCCTATGATTTATAAACTATTTTCAATCATCAGTGAACACTCTCACTTTTTCTCTCCCCTAGTACAGTTAGGCTAATGAGGATGTTCTGAAGTTTTTGGTGTACAAGTGGATTTTTTTTTGTTTAGATTCTAAACTAAGTATATTGTTTAGTTTATTTGGCAAGACTATTAAGTTTATTTCACAAAAAAGAATAATGTATTTCTGATGTAAAACATAAAACTGGAACAGAGGTAAGCTAGAATAGCAATAGAGGACTTCAGCAATCTGGAAGATGCTAAATACAATATAACTGTTAAATCTTTGTCTTCCCAACAGTTTGGTCTCTGAGAAGACAAAAAGAGTGAGCATAAGTCTAACCTATAAGAACAAATGACTTGGTTAAATAGAAGTAATTGGAACTTTTGGAGAAAAGTTTCTCTAAGTTTCTAACAGCAAAGATTAGGAAATCTGAGCATGTACTTTAAAAAAACAGATTTCAAATATAAATATTATGTCTTCTGCAATTTTAAAAGAGACAGTCCTTCGAAGGAATTGAAAGGTTGTTAATATGTAAAATTATGGCACACTACAAGCAGTACTTTGAGAAGAAAAGTTGCCCGGAGGTGATACCAATGTTGGTCTGGGGACCACACCTTGTGAGCCACTGGCTTGTGCACTAGCTTTATGACTGACGTAACACGTGACTCTATTTTTACAAAGGTGTCTATTATTTTACCAGTAAATACACAATGAAACTATAACAATCATCTGAAAATTATGAAATCTTTTAAATATTTTTTAAATTTCCATTTTAGGAAGAGCAGATATTCTGGGGATGGCATAATGATGTTCATGTATTTGACACAAAGACACAGAGTTGGTTTCAACCAGAAATTAAAGTAAGTATTGTTAAAAAACTTGCTTTTACATTTATATATTCTTTGATACTTTTAGAATATATTTTTTACTAAGTTGTTTGGATTTTAATAATTGAGTTTGAAATCACATACAAAAGGCTTCTCATGGGTAGTGTCACTTATACTATTTTTTTGATTACATATTTTTTTATTACATATTTTTCTCCAGGTTAGCTAAAGTTTTCTTGAAAAATCTTGTAAAGAGGTGCCATCTCATTACTCACAAGTGTGATGCCCTGATTTAATGAAGGCTCTTCTGCAAAGTCTTTTTATAACAAAGTCCATGATTTTAAAATGCCCATGTTTTGTTAACTCTTGAAACCAGAGCTACATGCAATTGTAGCATGACGAAAATATATTATTAATACTCTTTAATGTGCTAGTGAACAAACAAATTCAAATTAGCTTAAGCAGTAATGAATTCTCACATAGCTGGAAAGTATATTTTGGAAGAGCTCACACAGTGGAAGGAAGAGCTGTAGGGACCAGCACCTCACAATTGGAGCAACTTATTCAACACCATCACAATACTTTCCATCTCTCTTTGTTGGCTTCTCCCTATTTCTCTGTGTGCTAGCTTCTTTCTGTCTACCGCAGACTGGCTGACTCACTTAGGAGGGAGTACGGCCCTGGCTACATAAGCAATTCTTTCTACTGGTGCTATATTCTCTCAGTGTCTGTATATTTGTCCTAGGAAAGGCTTCTGGCTCTTGGCATGTTCCCACTCTACATCAGTCCTCATTTCTAAGAGAATGAGTGGCCAGGCCCACCGCTGGGGCAGCAGGGTATTGATTGTTAAACTCACCGGAACTGTGCAGAATGAAATTCTGGGGATGACATGATGAATGGTGTTCATGGTTCAACAGGCAAAACCAAAATTTTCCACTAATATGCATACATGACCAAAATTCTTTGCAGTCCAACTTCTGCTGGTGGAAGTAATGGGAGGGTCTATGCAAAATAGCAAGTGGTATGAGATTTAATCCTTCTCAGTATCCTCTTTTTCCAGGCAATGAATTTCAGGTTTCCAGTGCTCTTCTGTTCTCTTCATCCCATTTCTAATTTTAGAACTGATCAGCTATCAGTCATTTATACTTGTTGATTGAATTTTTCTTCAGTCAGCATTGAATTTTAAGATTTGTGTCTTTTATTAATGAAATAAAAGCATTTTATTGCTGTTAAAATAATTTAATGTCAGCAAGCAGGTAGAGAGTTATTATTGAGACTGGCTCTACTGAAAATCATCTTAGGTTTCTTTCAGGCCTCTTAACCCTCTACTTCCTTAAATAAGCAAGGGTCTGGAACTACCGAAGGCATATTTTTAGAATGTGCACCTGCAGATAAGGCAGCTGAGGTATCCTATAATCAGTTTTTTAGACTTCAGGTCTTTCTCTTTCTCTCTCCTTACCTTGATTTGTATCCCTCCCCTCCTTCTGCTCCAACAGAAGCACATGACTTCTGCATGTGGCATCTGCAGATGACTGACCTGATTTTAATTATACTTAACAATATATTCACTCCAATTTTCCTGACGATAACTTCAAACAAATTCTTACATTGTTTACATTGTATCTGAAAGTTTTTCTAACATGGTTGTTCTTGGAATCCATTCTCTTTATTTTTTAGAGACATTCTTAAATTCATTATTTCCAAATATCTGTATCAAAAGACAAGGCAATATGGTAGAGTGTAACAATTATTGTCAAAGTTGAAAAAACTGGATTTGCATTCTAATTGTGTCATGAAAGTCCTGTGTGCTTTAGATAAGTCATTTAGTGTGTCATCTGTAAAATAGGCTGAATGTGTTTTCCTATATGGAATTTTTATCTCTATAAGAGCAATATAGTAATAATAGGAACCTTTGTGTCGTTTTTAGTATTTCAAACAACCTAATAAGCATTGTGCATTATTTATGCAGTTAAGCACACAGACCAAGACAAATGAGATTTCTTTGTTTTTGTTTGAAAATATATGAACCCAATTTATTCAGAAACTTTGGTTGACTATTAAATTTGTTTGATAAATTAAAAAAGGAGAAATTTGATATTTATTTCATAATAAATGTCTTTATAGTAGAAGAATTTTTCCAAATTTTCAGATCAGTAAAGTATAATAATAAAAATTTTGTTTTGCTGGATAGGCTGGGAACCACAACTCAAAAGATTCTCTCTCATTTATTTAAGTGTTACATAGGTAGTATCTAAATTACTGTGCTGACTTCAGCAGTTATTCAAGTAAGGCTGAGAAGTCTAGAGAGTTATGATATTGGATGTAGAGCTTAAATTTCCTATACCTGTATTCAGTAGCCAATGAGCTGAAAATTTGGGTTCTTTCAGAACTTGCAATGAAATATATATTCAAGGGCACCCACCATGAAAACATAGAAATTATGCAGAAAATTCTTCTTTCAAATATTATTCATTCATTTACTTACTACACTCTTTTCTTTAGAATGTCTCTAAAAAATAAAGAGAGTGGATTCTAAGTACAGTCATGTCAGAAAAACTTTCAGATACAACGTGGGAAATAATCTGTTATATTTATTGAAAGTATAGAGAAGTATTATCAGTTAATGTGAAGAGTTTTTAGTAAGAGATAAAAAAAGCACTGTTTGGCTTAAGCCAAAACTGAAGTTCTTATTGTAGACTTTAAAGCATCAAGAGTTTTGTGGGACAGATTTAATTTTTTAGAGTTTGAGATCATCACACCATGTACTGCTCACTTATAATATTAACTGTATGGGACAGAGAAGAAAGAGAATCTTTTAAAATTTGATTTTTAAATCCTTATATTTTAAGCTAAAATTTATATGAAATCTTATTTTGCTAAATAGTGTCAGGCATTTAAAAAATGCTTTAAAAAGTAAAGATCAGGGTGAATAAATTTCACTCTTGAAGAATATAGGTATACCTCAGAGATATTGTAGGTTTGGTTCCACATCACTGCATTGAAGTGAATATTGCAATTAAGTGAGTCACATGAAGTTTTTCATTTCCCAGTGCATATAAAGGTTATTTTTACACTATGCTATAGTCTATTAAATGTGCAGTTACATTATGTTTAATATTTTAAGTAAAAAACAGTTTATTGCTAAAAAATGCTAACCATTATCTGAGTTTTCAATGAGTTGTAATCTTTTTTGCTGGCGGAGGATCTTGCCTGGATGTTGATGGCCAGTGACTAATCAGGGTGGTGGTTGCTGAAGATTGGGGATGGATGTGGCAGTTTCTTAAAAGAAGACAACAGTGAGGTTTGCTACATTGATTGGCTTTTCCTTTCATGAACTGTTTCTCTGTAGCATGTGATGCTATTTGATAGCATTTTGCCCACGGGAGAATTTCTTTCAGAATTAGAGCCAATCCTGTCAAACCCTGCTGCTCCTTTACCAACTAAGTTTATGTAATATTCTAAATCCTTTGTTGTCATTTCAACAGTCTTCATAGCATCTTCACCAGGAGTAGATTTCATTTCAAGAAACCACTTTGTTTGTTCATCCTTAACAAGGAACTCCTTATCCATTAAAGTTTTATAATGAGATTGCAACAATTCAGTCACATCTTCAGGCTCCACTTCTAATTCTAATTCTCTTGCTATTCCCACCACATCTCCAGTTGCTTCTTCCACTGAAGTCTTGAATCCCTCAAAGTCATCCATGAGGGTTAGAATCAATTTCTTCTAAACTCTTGTTAATATTGACATTTTGATCTCTTCTCATGGATCGCAAATGTTCTAAATGGCATCTAGAATGGTGAATCCTTTCCAGAAGGTTTCAGTTTACTTCGCCCAGGTCCATCAGAAGTATTACTATTTATGGCGGCTATCACCTTATGAAATGTATTTCTTAAATGATAGGACTTGAAAGTCAAAATTATTCCTTGATCCATGGGCTGCAGAACAGATGTTGCGTCAGCAGGTGTGAAAACATGAATCTCATTGTACTTCTCTGTCAGAGCTCCTTGTTGACCAGGTGCATTGTCAATGAGCAGTAATATTTTGAAGGGAATCTTTTTTACAGAGTAGTAGGTCTCAACAATAAAATTGGACTTAAAATATTCAGTAAACCATGTTGTAAACAGATGTGCTGTCATCCAGGCTTTGTTGTTCCATTTATAGAGCACAGATAGAGTAGATTTAGCATAATTCTTAAGGGCCTAGAATTTTCAGAATGGTAAATGAGCAGTGGTTTCAACTTAAAGTCATCAGTTGCATTAGCCACTGATAAGAAAGTTAACCTGTTCTTCGAAGGCAGGCATTGATTTCTCTTTTCCAGCTAGGACAGTCTTAGATGGTGTTTTCTTCCAATATAAGGCTGCTTTGTCTACATTGAAAATCTGTTGTTTAGTGTAGCCACCTTTATTAATTATCTTAGATCTGGATAACTTGCTGCAGTTTCTACATCAGCACTTGCTGCTTCACCTTGCACTTTCATGTTATAGAGATGACTTCTTTCCTTAAATCTCATTAACCAACTTTTGCTTGCTTCAGACTTTTCTTCTGCAGCTTCCTCACCTCTCTCAGCCTTCATAGAATTAAAGAGAGTTAGGGCTTTGCTTTGGATTAGGCTTTGATTTAAGGGATGTTCTATCTGGGTTGATCTTCAGTCCAGACCACTAAAACTTCCTCCATATCAGCAATAAGAATGTTTGACTTTTTAACATGGGTGTGTTCACTGGAGTAGTGCTTTTAATTTCCTTCAAAAACTTTTCCTTTGCATTCATATCTTGACTGTTTGGTGCAAGAGGCCTAGCTTTCAGCTTATCTCTGCTTTTAACTTATCTTAGCTTTCAATATGCCTTCCTCACTAAATTTAATCATTTCCAGTTTTTGATTTAAAGTGAGAGGTGTATAACTAACTCTTCCTTTCACTTGAACACTTAGAGGCTATTTTAGGGTTATTAATTGGCCTAATTTTAATGTTATTATGTCTTGGAGAATATGGAGGCCCGAGGAGAGGGAGAAAGATGGGAGAGTGGCCAGTCAGTGGAGCAGTCAGAGCACACACATTTATCAGTTAAGTTTGCCATCTTACATGGGTCAGGTTCATGGCGCCCCTAAAACAATTACAGTAATAACATCAAAGATCACTGACCACGGATCACCATAACAAATAAAATAATAATGAAAAAGTTTGAAATATTGCAAGAATTACCAAAATATGACAGAGACACAAGAGAGCGAATGCTGTTGGAAAAATGGAGCTCATAGACTTGCTTGACGCAGCATTGCCAAAAACCTTGAGTCTGTAAGAAATGCAGTATCTGCAAAGCACAATAAAGTGAAATGCAATAAATTGAGGTATGCCTGTGATATTTACTATAATTATTACTATTTAGATTGAACTTTTACATTAGGCCTTTTAATTGAATTACATAGATAATGTTAATTTAGTGGTCAAATATTTTCATACTAAGCATAAGAATGTGATATCATTACATGTTTCAAGTCTTTGTACTCTGTTTTCTTATCTATGTTTGCAGGGCGGAGTTCCACCCCAGCCACGAGCTGCACATACATGTGCAGTTCTTGGAAATAAGGGCTACATCTTTGGTGGACGTGTTTTGGTTAGTATTTTTAATGGAAATAATCTTTCTACATGTGATGTTGCTTATAAAAATTCATCCTCTGATTTTATAGAACAACTGAACATTCAAATAATCTAGAAATTAAAATGCCATTTAATAACTTTTATCTCTATTCCCAGACCATACATAAATAATCATAGATAATTATAAATCATATTTTAACGAAGAGAATCCTTTAGCGTATTATCAGAAAAATTTAATTTCTTATCATCTAAATACTATTAGTTTAAACTCATTTATTCCTTTGACACATTAATTTGGTAGCTCTGTGTTAATTTTATTAATGGTTAACATTGTTCCCCAATATATACACTTCTGATGTTAACTACAATAATCTGTTTTTAATAAGAACTGATTTTAACCCATTTCCCATTTGCCCCGAGAATACTTGCCAGATGCACTTGCAGCAGCAGCATTTACCCAAACATAATTCGTGCGTTATAGTCCTAACCTTACCCCTAAAGTTTGCCGGAAAATATCTTGCTTTTATTATTATTTTCGCATCACCCTAGTATTTCGATAGTCTTTGGAAATAAATTACATCATTCTATTTATAGCATTCTGTTTTTAGTAGTGGTATTTCCAGTTACAGAATATAGTAATTCTCAATCACTGAAAATGTCAAATCCTAGAAAACGTAGCATTCCTAAGAGTGATGCTAACATTGTTCTCGAACAGTTGTTAGCCGAAGAGTCATTTGATGAATCCGATTTATGTATACATTTCTGTTACATTAGGATTAGAGATAAGTTCTGTTTAGAAATAACTCCAAGAACAATTTTCCTATTTTATTTTCACATTGAAAACCAGTCAGATTTGCTTCAGCCTCAAAGAGCAAGTAAAATGTAAAATTAAATTAACACTGGCAGCAAGCTGCACTTTTTTCCTAAACAGGAAATGGGTTAAAACCAGAATTTTAGCTCATGAAAGATGTAAAACACTGACCAATTTAACACACTTTTATTTTAGCAAACTAGGATGAATGATTTGCACTATCTAAACTTAGATACATGGACTTGGTCTGGAAGGTAAGTTTGAAATTTAAGTTTGTTTTGCTCTATAGGCATTTGTGTGGATGTATGTGTGTGTGTGCATGTGCACACACACATGCACAAATTTAGGTCTCTAAAGCTGAATCAGTGTATGCTAGGTTGTAACAACATAATTAATGGAAGTAAAGATTGGTACCATTTTTCTGGAAGGTATTCTGGTACTAAGTTCAAAATATAAAATGGAATTTAACTTTGATCCAGAATTTCTCTGAAGACAGTAATTGGACAAGTGTATTTATGTGTGTGTGCATACACAAAGATGTTTATTATAACATTACTTATAAAAATAAAAACTTGAGATCAGCCTTCGTCTACAAGTAGGGATTTTTAAAATCATGGTACATTTGCCCAAAGGGCTGCCATGCTCCCGTTACCCAAGGAAACTATACTTCATGGAAATATTATACAGCATGCTAATTGAGTGAAAAAAAATTACAGAATGGAGTATATGATCCCATTTATATATTTTAATAAATATTTATATATGCATTAAAGTCTGGAAAGAGATACACCAAATTATGATTTCTTATTGCTGGAGGACAGGATTATAGGAGAACTCTCATTAAAAAACATTTTTGTGGTTGTTGAATGTTTTCTAACCAAAATGTTTTTTATAGTCAACAAAAACAATAAAAATATTTCCAATTTTGAAAAAACAAATTACATCTTCTCTAAATGGTCCACGTTATTCTGGAGCATTTCAGAATGCTGAAGTGTCTTAACTAGTGTCAGAACTTCTAGTTAAAGTTAAATGGTATATTCTACTTAAATAGTACCTTCTAAATTAGTTAAACTTTTGTGATTTTATTTTTATTTCTGCTTTTATTTTTTTAAGGAATAGAACATTATTTATTTGAAATCCTTAGCTGTTTATACTGGATCTGGAATGGTTTGCGTGCTTTTGTTTTAAAGCTAGAGTAGGTAGCATTTTCAGGTGAAGATAACACTTTGGGAAATTCTACAACAAATAGACCAAAGTGAAAACAACAACAACAAAATCCCATAATATCATTGAGGAAATCTGTTGAAAACATGAAATCGAACATGAAACAACAAGTTAAAAATTACAAACATGAAAACAATTATGTTGAAAACTTCAGGAAGTTTTATTTATTAACCAACAAGAATGATGCTGAGTATGCAATGTGAATTTACTGGGAATTAATTTTCAATCTGTGTTCTATAACCAGGTAGAATAGATGCTAAATGGAAAGATCGTTTAAATTCATCTAAGAATTTAAGAATGTTTTAAAATTTTTATGTAGGTAGGATTAGTAAAATCAATATTTTTAAAGTGGTGCGGGTGATTTTTCCCTTTAAGATCTAAGATGATCAAACCCTTTTATTTTAACTAAAACAATACTTAGATTTTTATATTTTTTTTCCATTGCCACAGGGTTCTTATTAATGGCGAAAACCCGAGACATCGATCGTGGCATACTTTAACACCAATAGCTGATGATAAACTTTTCCTGTTTGGTGGACTAAGTGCAGACAATATTCCATTAAGTAAGTCAATTCAAGTTTAGCCTACAATTATTATCTCACCCTTTTTCCTTAATTGTATTTGATACTTAAGGTATCTTCATTTTTTCTAATTTTCTGGTTTATCTTTATCCCCAACTATATGCTTGCATTGATAATTAGAAGTAGAAGACTCCTTTGCTTCGGTACTGTTGGCTCTCCATGTTCTTCTGTTTTCTAGGTATTGAGAAAAGGAAGGGTGGTTGAACCTAGGTGAATTAAAGCCCCTTTCAACTATAATATTCTGTGATTCTATGTCCTCCTGATTTTTGACCCAGATGCTTATATTGTAGGCTGGAATGGGGATTAGAAGAGCAGCCTTTCCCAGAATGCTCTGGAAATGAAAGGTGGGAAGGCTCGTTGCTTCTCTTTTGTTCCAGAACTATAAAAGAAAGTGCTTAGCTAAAATTTTTTAACCCCTGTCACTATTGATCCCAATGGCTATGGGTTTGTAATGCAGTTTTTCTTTCAGCAGTAAAATTGTGCCATCAGGATAGACAAATGACCAAGAATATCTACTTCTTAGTTTGACATATTAAATGTTCTGTACTTTCTCAACTCAAAAATTTTCTATGGCTAGAGATATTTTTATTAAGAGACCTTATATACCATTAAAACCATCAATATAATTTTATATCAGATATGGAAACAACTATGCTGCCAGTCTACTGGCCAACAAACAAACTCCAGAGACTGGTTGGAGAAACAGCAGTTCCTAGTAGGGAATGTTAGTTATTGCAGAGCATCATGTTTCCTTAGTTTCTGAGATTTTGAATCTAATAAAAAGAAACTAACATTTATCCATTTTGATAGGGGTTCTTTAATATCATCTTCGTGAGCTCTAATGTTTTTAATTCTTATTTCTGGTTTTGGTCATTGACCTATGGTCCTTGCTCTTTTTTAAAATTAAAAAAAAAATTTAAATTCATTTTCCAATTACAGTTTTTATACAATATTATATTAGTTTCAGGTGTACAACAAAATGGTTAAACATTTATATACCTTATGAAGTGATCACCCCGATAAGTCTAGTACCCATCTGCAAATATCCTTAGTCAGTCAGTTTTCTCCCATATAGATTCAGTTTAAGATATGGGCATATGTATTTTAGATGACACTAAGAAATAATTTTTAGTTTTGTTGACTATAATAATGGCATTGTAGTTGTGTGACAATGGTGTTGTGGTTATGTAAAAAATATGACCCCCTTTTTTTTTTTAACAGTGCGTACTTCAGTAAGTATGGGGAGAATCTCCAATATAGGAGATTTAGGATTTACTTTAGAATAATTCAGCAACAATAACAAAAAGTGACAAGATAGAATATATGTGACTAAAATCTTGATAGTTGTTGAATCTGGGATATGTGAGGGTTCATTGTCATGTTTATTCTACTTTTGTGTATCTATGAAAATTTTTATGAGAAAATATGTACACACACAAAAGATAGTTATCTAAATGTAGCATTATAAATTAAAAAAAAAAAATTAAGAATTCATCCCAAAGACCTAATCTAAATTTCTGAACTGTCATAATATTGCAGGTGATGGTTGGATTCATAATGTCATAACAAATTGTTGGAAACAACTTACCCATTTACCTAAAACAAGACCCAGGTAAGTCTAGAAGTTTACAAATAGTAAAGTAGTTAAGAATTTTTAAAGTATTAAAATATAGCACTGAATTTATAGTGTTTGCCATTAAAACAATAAATGATCAGGAAGGCTATCTTTCAAATAAGCTTAACGTTATCTCAGTATTTAATTACCATTTTAATTGTGTCTGTTAGAAATGATCTATTCAGTTTCTACCCATATTTGCATATTTTAAAATATTACTCTTAGGTAACACATAGTCTTGCCTAATAAATATGAAAAGGCTAAGAAATTGAAAGTATCATATAATGTTAGTATTTTTAATAAGTAGACAGGAGTGGGGTTGGCTTTATAATTTGTAATTTGTTTTTGGAAGAGATTTAGAGCAATTTAATGGGAAATTACTTTCATGTTGATCAAATAGATGGCAGACAATTTCTTTATTAACTATATATTTAGTAATGTGATTTTTTTTATAAAAGTAAACATTAGTTATTTGTGGTATATTATAGAGTACAATTTTCTACAGAAATTGTAGAAACAGTATACAGTTACAAAGACAACCACATTAGTATTGTAATTCTTATTTTTCTGATTTGAGTAGTATAATAAAGATATATTCAAAGGAAATTCAAATTCAGCACATTATAATTATTGTAGTTAATAATAGATTTTATTCTTTTTCATGCCATGTGTTTCAGAATTTTTAAACTATAGATTATGTATACTAATGTAAAGTCAACTTAATGATATGCATTTCAGTAATTTAATAAATGACAAGTAACTTACTTGAGAAAAAATCCCAAAAATATTTTTATATATCTCATGACTATATAGATTAATATAATATATCTATATTAATATGCATGATACATTTAGAATTTATCATAAGTACATATATGATTCTTATATTTTCATGTAAAGAAATTCATTGAAATATATTAGCAATTCTGGAACTTTTGAAATATATTTTTTAATTTAAAGAGTTTTATATTGAGTTACAGGAGCTGAGTTCTAGTCTTTGCTCAGCTGCTACTTAGTATTTTGGCTTTGGTAAAGTCACTTATGAAACTGAGTTTCAAGTTCTTCATGTGTGAAATGAGAGATTTGGACTAGATGAGCTCTTCCAGTTCTTTGATTATATGAATTCATTAATTATAGACCAAAGTGATAGTAAGAATATGTTTAATTTTTAAGTTGTTATGTTACGTTTCAATACTTAATGAGTAACTAGAGCAATACAACTAATCAATATACAGTAATCATATACTAGTTAGAACTGAGCTATGTAAAGTTTTTTTTAATTCAGCTGATATGTCATATAAATAATATGCTTTATTAGAATGTTTAGGTGGTAAGTTTAGAGAAGCTGTGAGAGGACATAAACTCTCAGTCTGTAGAAAAAACCATCAGATTCCAAGCTAGATGTCACCAAAATCAAGGCAGGAAAGGCTTTCCAGTGTTCTTCGATGATGAAGTCCAGGCCAGAGTTTTCCTAAGGCAGATAAGACAGAGGCAGATCTATCTTCAGGTATGAGGTGAGGAGGAGAACAGGTGGGATACAGTTTAGCGTAAGGAGAACATATATGTGTGTATATATACTAATTTTTATGAAAGTGAGAATTACTTAACATTTAAACGCATTCTGTGCAAACTTTTCCAAGTTATAATTTGAAATGTAACTGCCCAATTCTCATAATTCTACAACAGGTTTTTCAACCTCAGCACTATTGACATTTTAGACCAAATTATTTGTTGTGGGGGTGTCCTGTTCATTGTAGGATGTTTAGCAACATCTCTGGCCTTTACACAGTAGATGCCAGTAGTACTACCTCCCCTGCCTCCCCCCCGCCCCCATCTATGTCACCACATACACACCTGGAGTGTGACAATCAAAAATAACTCCAGATATTGTCAAATGTCCTCTTAAGGACAAAATTGTCCCTAGTTGAGAACCACTGTTTTACAGTATAGCACTCTCTTCTCCAGGTCTCACTTTAGACAAAACTATGCTTAGCTGAAAATCCATCTAACTAGCAGTATCTGATCATCTGTATAGGTGAGTGTCAGCAAGGATCCTCTCTTACATGTCTGTAAAAGATGCCAGCATGGTGTTGGTCTGTAGAGCTTTAGGTACTGTTGTAGCCCATGAGTGTTGCCGAGATTACATATGATCTTCTCTCTAGGAAGTTAAAGCTATTCCTTCCCATATATAAGGACATACATCGTATTCTGTCTCCTTCACCCAACCCCTCCTCCAATCTCCATCTCCAACCCCACAACATAATCTGGGGATTGCCAAAAATTTATATCAATTTATGGTGTAACATACAAGTTGGAGAATTGGGCAGAGTATTTCCCAAAGTTTCTAATGACCCAGTTCTATCCTGGGTGCCAAGTGCATTTGTCGTTGAATGTGTCATGATTATTTGAGGAAAGTATTCAGTTTAACAAATTGTGCATAACCCCACTGTTTGCACTTGTGGAAGATAAGTAAAAAGGATTAATGTACTAGAAATAAGTTACATGGTAATAAAATAAGTAATAACATGTAATTGGGGAAGCTTTTGCTTCAGCAATTTGGTCTATTAAGAAAAGTAATCAAAGTATTCTCAGAGTCAAAGCAATGATTTTGTAAAACCCTTAATTTATCTTTTAAAACTGAAAAATTTATGTGTACTTTTTTTCTGAGAGTTAGAGCCCCCAGAAATATTGAACTTTTTAAAACCATAAAAGCATTCTTGATAAATAATGTGAAACTGAAGATGGATATGAGCTATAAAATCAGACCATTTCCAAAAGAACATCCGATTCTTAAATCCTTTATGAAATTATTTAACTACTGAAAAATGATGCCGGCATTTTGTGTTTACTTTTGTTAATCGAAAGTTTTGGATCACCTACTGGATATAGAAGATGCCTTAAAAATTAGGCATTTTTAAGAAGCATAAAATTAAATTACCCAAGTTCCAGTGGTATGCTGGTAAATAGTTAACACTGCTCTCCAGGAAAAATAAAACAAGAACAAAACCCTAATTTGTAGGATTTGTTGATTTCCACGATGGCCAATTTCAAGCTACCAGTGTGGTGTCACTGGACATGGAGTTGAAGGGAGATATGCACAATTGGCTTTAATGAGCTCATAAACTGGCTCCGACACACCACTGTGGCAATTTTTGACCATAAGGACCTTGTACTTTTTGTAGGGTGCTAAAAACATTCACATCAAACAATTAAAGAAGTATATAGAGCAGTTTATCTTCAAATGTAAGTTAGAAGATTATAAAATGAGTACATACATGTTGAAAAGTGCTGAACAGAGAGGGCAACAGAGTCAGTTTGGGTGGCATTTGGATCACTTCCTGGGGATTCTGAGCCTTTTTTAAAAAAAAGGCCTTGAGAGAATGACTTCTCATTCTAAGCCTAGGAAACAGGGTGAACAAAAGCCTAGAGGCAGATATAAGGTTTTTTCTTAGGAGATGCAAATAAATGAATAAATGAATGCAAATAAATGAATTGGCTCAAGTAGAGGGTTTATTTGGAAAGATGCAAGAATTAAGTTTTATGGGAAAAAGGAATAGCTGTTGGTCATAAATACTAAGATAAGAAAAATGGTACAGATGCTTCCTGATCAGGAAACGTCCATGATTAAAAACTATATTTGAAAAATATTATTTATCAGCTATATGTAGCTGGGATAGAAACGATTCAGAAAAAAAAAGCGGGAGGGAAATGTTATGATAGTCTATACTTAGTGACAAGTAGTGTGACAATGTAAATGTAAAGAAAATGCTTAATTGGATTTGTCAAGCGATGGGGAACAGAGAACAGGAAAGAAAGAATCAAAAATGATGAGGATAGTAATATGGCAGATTGTAATTTAAAAAATGGCAGAAGTGTCTATTTCTCCAATAAGCTGATCCATTCCTTTTTAAATTATTTTGTGACTAAATTATTTGAATATCTATGAGATAACAGATTAGAAAAAGATCGGGGGATATAATAGGAAAGAGATATTGGGAGTCATATCCTTAATTGAAATGATATGATTTAATTAACTCTAGAATCAAATGCTCTAATGATTCTAGAGGAATCTTTAAAATCTGTCTTCTTTGAAGATGTGCCAAAGGTTCAAGTTCAGTCTTGCCTCTTCTGAAATGATTAAATTTTAGAGTGTGTAATTTAAAATTGATTTATATGTGATATATAGTTTCTTGATAGTATTTCATTCTGTTTATAATTTTCAATCACAGGTTATGGCACACAGCTTGTTTGGGAAAAGAAAATGAAATAATGGTATTTGGTGGAAGTAAAGATGATTTACTTTCCTTGGATACAGTAAGAAAATTTTTTATCTGAGTATTTCCTCTGAGTAGTGTGTTATTCAGCCTACAATGACTATTCAATGTGATGTTGATATTTCCACACTGCAAAATATGGAAAGGCATAAAATGTTACTCTGTGGCGTGATTAATCTTCAGAACAAGTGGCTTTTGTGAAGCATTTCAGGATATCTTGGGTTTACAAATCAAATAGGTTTATTAACGTTATTAGTCAAATTATTAAGAACAGCTTTTAAAGGATGACTTTTCCTTTTCTCTTTGAGCTTCCCCATAGTATGAGTGTTTATAATTCTATTGAATTAAAATATTTGTAATATTTGATACATAAAAAGAATATATGAATATATAATATACATGTAAACTACTAAGTGTAATAGTGAGTACTCATGAAATTTGCTACCTAACAATAATTAGAGCATCATCAATGCTAGCTTCTCCCCTGAAGAGAGAACTACTTTGTAATGCTTAAAGTGAATTTTCTTTTTATTTTATGCATCTTTTGCCACTGCTTCATTCCTGTTGTATATTTGCATTTAAAGCATTCCAGTATTTAAAAGCTGACAAAACTAATGTCAAAGGAATAAATGAGTAGCATTTGGAGAGTATTACCCTTTCACCTTGGAGAGTATTGTCCTAGCACCTTGGGAAATTCAGAGCAGGGCGGCTTTGCTCCTCCTCTGTATATGATGGGACAGGTTCAGGACTGGTTGCTCTGGTTTTAATAGAACACTTAGAAATAGCAGGACTGAGCCATCAGGGATGGGGCAACAAGCCAGAGTCCAGCCAAGAGGGCACCAACTCCCTTTTATCTCTTCAGGCATAGCTCCTATGGAGTGGTGAACCACAAAATAAGGTGGTTTCTTTCCAGGGAATTTGGTTTATTTCATAATTCTGAGGCCTCCAATTTAAATGTTATGTATATCGAAAGTTTCAGAAGATTCTTTGGCTGATAATTCAGTGCTCCAATAAAAGATTAAAACTATAACTTTGCATTTAATTAAAAAGCACATTTTGCCATTTATCTTCTTCTTCTGGGCACTAGAAATCTTTATTTAGTATACAAAGTTTACCATTAAAATAGGAACTCCGATTAAAGTCCTGATCATAAATTATGAAATTCTAAAGATCTGTTTGAAAGGATTAGAGGGAAATTTTCTGCTAACTCTTGCACATTAACTTTTAGATGAGAGAACTATATTCAGAAAATCTTCTGGATCTGTGATTTTCAAGTTAAGAATTCCCAGAGAATCCTGGGATCATCTGGAAAAAGGAGATAGGATAAAGAAAAGATTTTAAAATAAGAGTCATTTGGAAGAAAAAAAGTCCTGCTTAAATTAAAAAACAAAAAAGCTTGAAAACCATCACAATTCTTAGTTTGAATTCATTGTCCTAAGAGAAAAACATGTTTCTGATTTTTAAATTTGCAATTATATATAGGCTGTGGTTAGGTCAAAATTTTGTCATTATCACTTGAAAAAATTTTAACCATGTATCAAAAGTTTGTGTGGGTACTAGATATGTGTATGTATGTATATCTCTGTGAGTGCATGTGTGTGTCAATAGCTAGAAAGAGAGATTTATTTGCTGCTTTACATAATTCCTTTTACATTTTAAAAATAAAAAGTTCAATTATTAATGCATTGTTTTTATCAAAACTCTTGATAACTTTTTTTTATTGATTAGGGTCACTGTAATGATTTACTGATCTTTCAAACACAGCCTTATTCACTACTCAGGTAAGCAAATTCATTATGTTACACATATATGCTCTTAATATATGATAATTTCTTTCACCTTGAGAAGTGTTGTAATATTTTTCAATTCAAGTTTATGACTTGAATTTAAGGAAATGTTTATATCTTGTTAAGAGTACAATCAAATTCGTAATAGTGAACCATACACCAATCTGATTTTTAAAAATTAAAATATACAGTATAGTCACAGTTTTGTTATGTTTGTCAAATTGCATTTAGTTCATATGGGAATATTAAATATATTGTGTTTTCTTAATTCTAAGCCTGACTTTTTTCATATTTTAACTTTTCTGAAATCAGTGTGTCTAATATAAACACACATGTATACATTTAATTTAGTATAATTTCTTTTTTATAACCCTAAAACTGTTATTAAATTCGTGGTGTTACTTATCATGTTTTAGCTCATATATTCTTGCTTTAAAAGGAGCATATTCTATGTTTAGTGGGAGGATTGTGGAAGAAGCCCCTGGTTCTCCCTGTGAGAGTGGGA